CCAATGGTACCTTCCATATGGACCTATCCCTCCTAGATTTTGCACAGTGGCATTCGATGATAACTTCTTGAAAAAAAATAAAAATTATTTTTTTTCAAAATTTCCGAAATGAAATGATCTGGGTATAATTTTTTCTTAAAGTACTCTTCGTGGGCTTTCCAATGGTACCTTCCGTATGGACCTATCCTTCCCAGATTTTGCACAGTGACATTCGATGATAACTTCTTGAAAAAAATTAAAAATTATTTTTTTAAAAATTTACGAAATGAAATGATCTGGGTATAATTTTTTCTTAAAGTGCTCTTCGTGGGCTTTCCAATGGTACCTTCCATATGGACCTATCCCTCCCAGATTTTGCACAGTGGCATTCGATGATAACTTCTTGAAAAAAATTAAAAATTATTTTTTTCAAAATTTCCGAAATGAAATGATCTGGGTATAATTTTTTCTTAAAGTACTCTTCGTGGGCTTTCCAATGGTACCTTCCATATGGACCTATCCCTCCCAGATTTTGCACAGTGGCATTCGATGATAACTTCTTGAAAAAAATTAAAAATTATTTTTTTCAAAATTTCCGAAATGAAATGATCTGGGTATAATTTTTTCTTAAAGTACTCTTCGTGGGCTTTCCAATGGTACCTTCCATATGGACCTATCCCTCCCAGATTTTGCACAGTGGCATTCGATGATAACTTCTTGAAAAAAATGAAAATTATTTTTTTTTTCAAAATTTCCGAAATGAAATGATCTGGGTATAATTTTTTCTTAAAGTACTCTTCGTGGGCTTTCCAATGGTACCTTCCATATGGACCTATCCCTCCCAGATTTTGCACAGTGGCATTCGATGATAACTTCTTGAAAAAATGAAAATTATTTTTTTTTTCAAAATTTCCGAAATGAAATGATCTGGGTATAATTTTTTCTTAAAGTACTCTTCGTGGGCTTTCCAATGGTACCTTCCATATGGACCTATCCCTCCCAGATTTTGCACAGTGGCATTCGATGATAACTTCTTGAAAAAATTAAAATTTTTTTTTTGCAAAATTTCTGAAATGAAATGATCTGGGTATAGTTTTTTCTTAAAGTACTCTTCGTGGGCTTTCCAATGGTACCTTCCATATGGACCTATCCCTCCTAGATTTTGCACAGTGGCATTCGATGATAACTTCTTGAAAAAAAATAAAAATTATTTTTTTTCAAAATTTCCGAAATGAAATGATCTGGGTATAATTTTTTCTTAAAGTACTCTTCGTGGGCTTTCCAATGGTACCTTCCGTATGGACCTATCCCTCCCAGATTTTGCACAGTGGCATTCGATGATAACTTCTTGAAAAAATGAAAATTATTTTTTTTTTCAAAATTTCCGAAATGAAATGATCTGGGTATAATTTTTTCTTAAAGTACTCTTCGTGGGCTTTCCAATGGTACCTTCCGTATGGACCTATCCCTCCCACATTTTGCACAGTGGCATTCGATGATAACTTCTTGAAAAAAAATAAAAATTATTTTTTTTTTCAAAATTTCCGAAATGAAATGATCTGGGTATAATTTTTTCTTAAAGTACTCTTCGTGGGCTTTCCAATGGTACCTTCCATATGGACCTATCCCTCCCAGATTTTGCACAGTGGCATTCGATGATAACTTCTTGAAAAAAATTAAAAATTATTTTTTTCAAAATTTCCGAAATGAAATGATCTGGGTATAATTTTTTCTTAAAGTACTCTTCGTGGGCTTTCCAATGGTACCTTCCATATGGACCTATCCCTCCCAGATTTTGCACAGTGGCATTCGATGATAACTTCTTGAAAAAATGAAAATTATTTTTTTTTCAAAATTTCCGAAATGAAATGATCTGGGTATAATTTTTTCTTAAAGTACTCTTCGTGGGCTTTCCAATGGTACCTTCCATATGGACCTATCCCTCCCAGATTTTGCACAGTGGCATTCGATGATAACTTCTTGAAAAAAATTAAAAATTATTTTTTTCAAAATTTCCGAAATGAAATGATCTGGGTATAATTTTTTCTTAAAGTACTCTTCGTGGGCTTTCCAATGGTACCTTCCATATGGACCTATCCCTCCCAGATTTTGCACAGTGGCATTCGATGATAACTTCTTGAAAAAAAATGAAAATTATTTTTTTTTCAAAATTTCCGAAATGAAATGATCTGGGTATAATTTTTTCTTAAAGTACTCTTCGTGGGCTTTCCAATGGTACCTTCCATATGGACCTATCCCTCCCAGATTTTGCACAGTGGCATTCGATGATAACTTCTTGAAAAAAATTAAAAATTATTTTTTTCAAAATTTCCGAAATGAAATGATCTGGGTATAATTTTTTCTTAAAGTACTCTTCGTGGGCTTTCCAATGGTACCTTCCATATGGACCTATCCCTCCTAGATTTTGCACAGTGGCATTCGATGATAACTTCTTGAAAAAAAATAAAAATTATTTTTTTTTTCAAAATTTCCGAAATGAAATGATCTGGGTATATTTTTTTCTTAAAGTACTCTTCGTGGGCTTTCCAATGGTACCTTCCGTATGGACCTATCCCTCCCAGATTTTGCACAGTGGCATTCGATGATAACTTCTTGAAAAAAATTAAAAATTATTTTTTTCAAAATTTTGCGAAATGAAATGATCTGGGTATAATTTTTTCTTAAAGTACTCTTCGTGGGCTTTCCAATGGTAACTTCCATATGGACCTATCCCTCCCAGATTTTGCATAGTGGCATTCGATGTTAACTTTTTGAAAAAATTAAAATTTTTTTTTTCAAAATTTCCGAAATGAAATGATCTGGGTATAGTTTTTTCTTAAAGTACTCTTCGAGGGCTTTCCAATGGTACCTTCCGTATGGACCTATCCTTCCCAGATTTTGCACAGTGACATTCGATGATAACTTCTTGAAAAAAATTAAAAATTATTTTTTTAAACATTTACGAAATGAAATGATCTGGGTATAATTTTTTCTTAAAGTACTCTTCGTGGGCTTTCCAATGGTACCTTCCATATGGACCTATCCCTCCCAGATTTTGCATGATAGGATTCATAAAATAAATTTACTAAATTTCGTTGATATAATTCGTTTTTAACTTCACACTATTGTGTTATACTGATCAATATAACTGTTATACTGTATGGTGGTGTATAATTCGGTTTGTGTCTTCGCTAGTTAAAATCGTTTTTATTTTCACATCCATAGTTTAAAAGACGTTCTAGAGGACCTAATCAAAACAAGGCGCTAACCTTTTATAAATTAATAGGCTGGTCGGTGATGTGGTTTCCGAATGAAAGTGATACGCAGTGAAAGAATATTCAAACCTGTCAGAATGACCCCCCTCCTTCATGACTCCAGTGTACCATCTGCATGAGGGACGCAGTGGAAAACCCCTGTGATAGCCTTATGGACAGAACTCCCTCACCCAGGAGCTGTCCCGATAAGCACGAATAGTCTCAGCTCGGCTCAGGGGGTGAGTATCGAAGGAAATGACCGAGTGCCTATGATCCCTGAGCTGACGAGGAGAGAATGGCGCCTCTAAATAACCATCTGAAAGGTTTGGATCACTACCTCTCAAAGTGACCCCCATAACGCTGTGTGTCATGCGACCTCGTGTCCATCAGCGTTCTATGGTTTGCAGTCAGGGTCCCGACTAAATTAGAAGGGAGCCTTGTTGATACCTGGGCGCCTCAACAATTTCATTCAGGCTTAGCTGCCAAGTCCTTGCCATGGTTAGAGGTTATGCCATGGTTGATCTCAATCCCTCACAAACAGCACATTCTATGGAGCCGAATAAATAAAACACCTAGAAAGGTGATGCATGAGACTTCTAAGCCCTCAGAACCCCCAAAGGTAAACTTAGTACTGAGACGTCCCAGGCATCAGCATCCACAAAGACGGAATGTAGGGGATTGTCGAAGCCAGCCCGAAGGAGAGCCCGTAAAAAGGGATCCAAGTAGGCTGATAAGGCACAACCACCCTCTGTCAATCAATTGTCGGCTCGATACATAACACGTATTCTGCATGTGGACTATGATCACACGACATGTTGCACCGTTCCAACTGTTCAGCTAAGCCGACTCACCTATCATCAAATACCTTATGGACACAGCCTATTCAGGTTGCTACAATTTCGAATTTTGAGATAGAGGAATCAGAACCAGACAATTCGTAACCAATGCTATGTATTGTGTTGCTACAACAACAACTACTGGGGATAGTCTCGCTGAAGAAGTCAAAGTAGGTCTTTGCCCTGGCATTCTTCGCTGGCTTCAATGGTGAGACAAGCCTGCACAAGCTTAAGGAACGATGTGGAACTTTAGACAAATACTCATCTCCGGATGATTCAGAATATGCATAGATTTCGAAAGTCCTTAAAACTTTAAATGATTTAACGCTACAACTTCACAAACCGTAAACTGTGGTTGTGTACCTCCTCGATGAGAAGAGAGGATCAGTTACCATTACTTTTCCTTCCAGTCCATTTTAAGATCAATGCAACACTATTATTGGAATTTTCGGATGTAGATATAATAGTCTAGATAATATCGGATATATTTTACTGAAACCTCCCTCACTCGTATACAAATCATGGCATACCCACTCGTGTGGAATACAATACCCTCCTTCAATTAATTTGTTTTGTGTATCAAATATGTACCTACAGCGAATGCGATTAAAGCCGTGACGTTTGTGGGATGGTGTCAACCCTTTGAAGGATAGCAGTCTTGCATATGTGAGCATGCATCAATAAAATGCACAAAGTGCCATGGCAACGTATACAGCAATTAATGTATCTACTATTTGCGCATTACATTTACAAATTATAATAACAACACACATATTTGTAATATTTCTTTATTTTAAATGATTTGTATGGTATTACTAAATAGTAGTAATAGGTACCCACCCACATCATTTTTTATATAACTCGAAAAAAGTCAAAACCCCCAATAACCCTTGCTAACAACTATCAAGACAATTGCAACAAAAATACTTACCCTCAAATGTTCCACCATATATTGATTCTCCGCCCGTACCATTGCCGGCTGAGAAATCACCCGATTGTATCATAAAATCTTTGACCACACGATGAAAGATGACATTCTTGTAATGCAAGGGTTTTTCCGTTACAATGCCGATACCCTTTTCACCGGTACACAAGGCACGAAAATTTTCCGCGGTTTTTGGTGCCACATCCGAATACAATTCAAATACAATACGACCTATATTCAATCGATCCAGTGCAATATCGAAGAAACAACGCGGTCTCACAATACCACCACCGCCATCACCACCAGCGTTATTGCCCTCTCCATTTGTCACCGTCATGGTGCAAATATGGTTGGCAAATTATTGACAATTTTTCAAGTATTTATTTTCACAGACGTTTTGCTGTATTTTGTAATAATTTTTTGTTGAATTATGAGCACTTATTTTTCGCGAATAATTGTATATTTTTCACCAGCAAAATTTTCTTCACGACCTGATTTTTTTTCCTTCGTCTATAAATGTCAATTAACGTCGTGTTGCCAGATCTGAATTTGCCGACTGGTAACCATGACAATTTGACACACAAATATAGTTATTCGGTTTAACTTATTCTGTGTTTAGATGGTGCAGAATACGAGGCAAATTGTAAAGCAAATTATACTAGTCTGGGGAAAAAGAAATTCATTATTTTTTCGGCAGATGGATGTATTGATAGATTTCTCATAAAATGTCGATGAAACAATTTCAGATTTATGCTCGTTGGAAGGGTGACATTTCACAGTAAAAATAATTTCTTAGCTGTTTTTTTGTTTGGTGCATTCAATTGTGAGTTACATGGTGTTAAAAATGGAAGTGAACAAAGAGAAAATTTGGTTCATTTTACAGATTTTTCTGTGACAAAGGCTAAAATGCACGCCAAGCGGCTAACATTGTGAATGGTGTTTATGGTTCCGATACTGTAACGGCCAATTATGTGCAATTTTGGTTTCGTAGTTTCCGTTCAGGAATTTTTGATGTTAAAGATACACCTCGTACAGGTAGGCCGGTCGTCGAAAATATCAATAAAGTCGGAGAAATGATCGAAGTTGACTGACATGTAAGCAGTCGTAACATCGCCTAGGAGCTAAAAATCATCTATAATTGTTTTAAACTATTTACAAAAAAGAATAATAATAATGAATTTCTTTTTCCCCAAACTAATATTTTTATGACTATTTGAGATCTGCAAAATCTAAAAATGTTTACTATTTTTTTTTGTATTTATTTGTAATTGTAGTAAAAATGTTCATATTCTTGAGGGTTCCTGAAATTTATGGAATGTCAAGCTTTCTCTTCAAAATCGATTTGGGAATATGATTAACATATTGGGACTAAACGTCGTAGATTCTTACTTGTTCTGGAACGGAGCTATTATAATACCGTTGTATAGAGATAAATACAATTCTACTGAATATTACCGGGTAAATTTCTTCTGGTAATATTTATCCAGCACAGATCGAATAATTAAATAAATTTTATTCGTTAATACATTTGTAAAACATGACATAATTACTGAAGGTAGTTTCATGCAGACATATGGTTCCAATTTTTCATAAATTTACTTTTGACAACACTCAGCTTTCAAAATTTAAATGTAAATATCCTCCTTCGAAATGTACGCACAACACGTGTCCAGTGGCAATAATTACAAAATGTTTAATATTTTGAAGTCCTATGCCTCTATAATCTATAAATATAGGTTGCAGATCTGTAATTATAGCTTAAGAATGATGTGGATCAAAAAAATTAGATATTTATTACATTGCTTTTTACTGACCGAAAGTCCTGATTAAAAAATAAGTATGTCTGTACAAAGCATGTATGGGTATATACAATTATGAATAGAAGCGTCCATCCATTTTTGGATCAGCTGTTTTATGACCAAACACAAAAATTATTCAAAACATTTTTTTTTAATTTGCAAAGTTCAATTTGAAGTTAAGTTGTATAAAAATTAAAGAAAATGGAATAAAATTCGTAAGTGATGCAAAGTTTCATTAAATTAGAAACTAATTCATTATATATTTTTAGGCAAGTTCTAGATAGAGGGCAATGTATTGATGCAGGAAGCTTAAATGTTCCCGGGGAACATACCAAATCAATTTTTATTTTATTGTGCATTTTATTTTTAATATTAAATGCAATACAAATAATTGTGTTTGTCCTCTGTTTGTTTGTTTATTTTGGCGCAAATCAAATGTTTTCTTGAATCAGCTGTTTATTTGCTAAATCGTACTAAATGTTGTCTGTTTACTTTTCTCTGTATTATCGCAAAAGAGAGTAAAAAGGGCTTACTCTCTGAGCTAGAACTTACTTAATAAATGTTACTGAAAAGTAACCAGACACACCCAATGTTATATAATTATACAAGGTAGAACATATATATATATATATATATGGCGATAGCTATGACATAATTATACAAGGTAGTCTCATGCAGTCATATGTTTCCATTTTTTCATAAATTTGCCTCTGAGAGTATTCATTCAACTTTCAAAATTTAAATGAAAATATCTTCCTTCGAAATGTACGCATACCATGTGTTTAGTTGCGAAAATTGCAAAATAATAGGTTCGTTCTTTTACTTTCCCAATAATATTTACTCAGTAAGAATTTGCAGAGAGTAAATACGAATCTTTCCTTCTCAAGAGAGAAAACTGCAAAAAGCAAACGAACAACATCCAGTAAAAAGATTGTTTCGACACAGCTGATTACAACAACAAACAAATTGGCGCAAACTAAAAAACAGCATTTTTATTAGAAAAATGGATAACAAGCGGAAAATTGATGTTGTTTGTTCCCCACAAACATTTAAAAGGGTTGTGACCGGTAAGTTTTAACTATTTATTCACAAAACAATCAATTTTCTTGAGAACAATTTTTTGTTTGTTTACAAAACATAACAAAACAGCTGATTAAATATCAGCTGATGGTACAAGAAAATTCTTACTGAGTAAATTTTCCTTGTAAGAATTTGCAAATACTCAGTAACACAACTGTCAAATCTGCTCTCTCAATTCACTCTCTTTTACTGGACTTTTGGGTAAACGAACAACATTTTATAATAATTTGTACAAATTTGTACAAATTATTGAGTAAACGAACGAACCTAATATAAATATTTTGAAGTTCCCTTCCTCTAAAACTTATAAATATTACATGTAACAACCATGGTTAACTCTTGAGAGCAATGTTCAGCTTTAGAAAATACATTTTGTTAACTTTATTGAAAATCCGTAATTTTCCACTGTAATTTATCATTCTGTCCAAATTTCCCGACCCATTTTCGTTATTTGCATGGTTTTTGTCTGATTTTTTAAAGAAGTGGCTGGCATTTTATACTTCTTCTTAGGAAATTTTCAATGTAGATAGGTCCATAAAATGATACCGCATAATTTTCGATATTTTGAAGTCCCTTGCTATGATTTCTAACCCGAATGTCTTTAATACGATATTTATTTTTTTTAGCACACATAGTCCCCATACAAAGATTCGGACCGATTTAAGAAATTTGGAATTGACACAACATAGTGAAGTATATGAGAAGTTCGACTCTTACGAACGTAACCGATTAATTTACTTTTTTCTGTTAGTATTATTTGATAGTTCATCATGGAAAGACTTCTCTTGAACATTGTTTTTAAATTTTTGAAGAGATCAGAAGAGGATAGAAGGTTTTTCTCAATAAGAAACCTTCAGATGAGCAGATCAGTTCTAGTATATCGTATTTAAAACCTAATGTTTATGAGGACAAGACATTTAACAATAAAAGAACTCATTTTTTATTTTTAAATAAAATTGTATATATTTTTGTATGTCCATATATATAAAATACGTTTAAGAAATTGTATACATACACGCATATATAGTTCAAAACTACATTTTTAAATTGCACAAAACTATTTCTCATTCAATTATATACTTAAAGCAAACAAACAAATATAATTATGCCCACAATAAAACGCTATAAGACCAGGGGCAAACATGTTCAATACGAATAAAATCAAATCATAATTTAAAAAAAATAATAATAAATATTTGGAAATGCAAGGTGTGTGGCTATTATTTGGTTACAATCATTAAAAAAACTCAACGAGTCCATTCCGTCTCTCTCCAAATTATTCAACGGTTACAGACTTGGCTAAATTACGTGGACAATCAACATCACATCCACGCAAAACGGCAATATGATAGGATAACAATTGCATAGGAATGACTGTTAAAATACCCTGGAGACAATCGACGGTGCGTGGTATCTCCAAACTGCGCGAAGAGAAGGACTTTGTTTCCTCGTCACCTTCTTCGCAGATAATAATGGGTCGTCCCTTGCGCGAGGTAACCTGCTGCAGGGCATTCATACATTTGGTGTACACCGGATCACGTAGGACAATCATGAGCACCGGCATTTCATCATCGACCAAGGCCAAGGGACCATGTTTCAATTCACCCGCCAAAATGCCCTCACTGTGCATATATGTCAATTCTTTAACTTTTAAGGCACCCTCAAGGCATGTGGCAAAGTTGTAGCCACGACCCATAATCAACAGGGATTTGTGCATATACAGCTCTTTGGCAAGTTCACAGATTTTCGAATCCAATTCGAGGACTTTACGAATCTGATCGGCCAAATTTGAGAGGCCTTTTATGATTTCCTGACGTCTGGGTTGTAGGGAGAGGCGATCATCGGACATTACCAAGGCAAACATAACCAAGGAAATGAATTGTGAGGTGTAGGCCTTGGTGGAGGCAACACCAATTTCAGGACCAGCATTAATGTGAACACCACAATGTGATTCGCGACCAATGCTACTTCCTACGGTGTTGGTGATTCCCACAATGAGGGCACCCCGTTGTTTGCAGTAACGCAAGGCGAGTAGCGTGTCTGCCGTCTCACCCGACTGAGAGATAAAGAAACAAACATCATCACGGAAAATGGGAGTGTTGCGATCCAAAAAGTCTGAAGCCAATTCAACCATAACTGGCAGTTCGGTCAACTCTTCCAAAAGCTGCCTTGTGGCCACAGCACTGTGATAGGATGTACCACAGCCGATCAACATCAAACGACGGCATCTGCGAATTTCGGGAATATATTCCTTAATGCCACCCAAGACCACATCCTGGGTATCGAAACGTACACGACCTCTCATGGTATTCACCACCGACTCGGGTTGTTCGTAGATTTCCTTCAACATGAAATAGTCGTAGTTACCCTTCATAATTTGTTGAATTTCTGTCTTCAATGTCGTGATTTCTCGAGCGTGAGCATCATCCAATGATCTCTTCAAGCGGTGAATACTTAAGGCACCATCCTTCACAGCCGCCACATCATCATCTTCCAAATATATGACACGATTGGTGTGCTCTATAATAGCCGAAGCATCGGAGGCAAAGAAATACTCCACCTCGGTGTCGTCCAAAGGCATAAATTCGGAATGGGATTCAGTGCGTGCAACAGGCATCATTGATTGCATACCACTATGGCCATGCGGGCGATGTTCCTTGGCGTAGAGTATAGGAATGTGATCGGTAGCTAAACGGGTTTTGGTCTTTATGCCCACAAGCAATGGGGAACCACGGCGGGAAGCCACACATTCGCCGGGGAAGTGGCGAGATTTAAAGGCCACAGCAAAGGCTCCTTCCAGCTGCTGAATGGTCTGTTCCACCAATTCACGGAATGTATACGATGGATGTTGAGTCCACAAGTGATGCACCAATTTGGCAATTACTTCCGTATCAGTGTCCGACTCAAAAATATATCCTCTCTTCTCCAATAGCGTCTTGACATCTTTATAATTGGTAATGATGCCATTGTGTACCACGACAAAACTATTGTCCAAATCAGATCTCTGCGGATGTGAATTCAATTCCGATGGTATGCCATGCGTTGCCCATCGAGTATGGGCAATACCCACATGGGTCCTCAAAGGTTCGGCGTAATCTTCAGTGGTACACAACTCATGTATGGCATCTTCCAATACTTTAACCTTACCACTGCGCTTCACCATCAATATGTCATTATGCTCTCCGGGAGCATCAATGGCCACACCTGTAGAATCATATCCACGATATTCCAAACGTTTCAGGCCATTCACCAACAGATCCAGTACTTCATGACGTGTTTTTGGAGTCAAGTAATTGAGATAAGCAAAAATTCCACACATTTTCTGATGAAAAAATCTATACTCTTAGCGTTAGCGATGTGTTCGTTTTCCGTTTCTCCGTTCTGTTGTTGTGCTCGCTCAGCCTTTTATCCGTCTATCGAATGCACCGCACTTGTGATTTGATAAGCGAAAAAAAAACAGAATTAATGTTAATAACACCACCACCCTTTTTCGCTTCTTACGCCTTACAACTCCTCCTTCACCGTTTCGTTTGCCTATCAGCCAGCCCTGGTCGTCGTCGTTGGTGTAGTAACAAATTCTCTTTTGCTATTCTGAAACGTAAACAATGCCGGTGTATGCGTGCGTATTTCTTTTTAGTTCTTATTTGGGAATATCCGATTGGTGTTTCCTTTCGTTGTTGTTTGTCATTCAAACATAATTCTTGCTGTTTCGTGTATGTATGTGGGATGTGTGATTTTCTTTAAATTTTTAGGAGTAGATTTGAATTTGTGCAATTTTTTCTTGGTTTCAATTCAACTGCCAACGTAAAAAAATTAAATGTAAACAATAAAACTGATTACTCTCTCTCTCTCTCTCAGCTGTCACATGCCTGTGGTGATGATAGTGTATTGATTAGTGGTTGACGTATTGTAACCATATTGTGTACGTTAGTTAATACGTATGTGTTTTTAATGGCGATTATTATTTGGAATTTATGGGATCTTTGTAGCCTCAAATCATAAATTTAAATTTAAAATATTACACACTCCCATCGGTACTATTTCTAGGATTCATGTTTTGGAATAGTCCCATGGTATAATTATTACAGGGTTGGGCATTGCTACCAGCTGATTACAATTTTTTCCCCAAAATGGCCAGTTCTATCAATTTGTTCATATTGTGACTAGTTATGCCAAAGTCATATGACAAAATGTGTGACTGTGTATGTGATGTTTTTTTTTTGTTTTGGCATTTTCTGTAAACTGTTACAAATATGTCAAATGAACAGAATGACTTGTTGGATTTTGTTTTTATTTTTTCTGACATTATTGCTCACAAGGTGTATTTTTTTCTTTGTTGACATAATATATCCTACCTTGTATTATTGTACCATGTGTATTGTACAGACATTTGTAATGTGTGAGTGGGAGTGAATCAATATATACTCTTTTATTTTGTTTGGGATCATACTCCTTGTTGAAGAAAAAGAGTGTGATTTTGAAAAGAAAACATCCAAGAGTGAAATCGAGTGGACAAATAAATTTGGTTGTTTTTTTTGTGTGTGTGTGTAGTACAAATTTTTTTTGTTGTTGATCTTTTGTGTGTTACAAATATGTCAAAAAACATAAAATAACATTGATTATTTTGATTGAAAATGTTGTACAAATAAACATCTTATATGAAATGTTTTTATTTTTTCTGACATTATTGCTCACAAGGTGTATTTTTTTCTTTGTTGACATAATATATCCTACCTTGTATTATTGTACCATGTGTATTGTATATGGTGTAAATCGAACAAAGACGGAACTGGTAATGTTCTCTAGGAAGTGTTGGAATAGGCACGCTGAGGAACGGGCCACGCGTAGTGCCCTAAGGCTGCATGAACAAAATCTTTGGCGAAGTTGTACCTTTGGGCATGGTTGTATATTGAACAAACCACCAACGCGTAAAACTAAGCGACTAGCGATGTATATATCGGCATTCCTAGTAGAAACGACTGGAACCGAAGTAACCCTCCTCTGGACGGTCTGTCTTTTTATACAGACGGATCCAAGATGGAAGAAGGTACAGGAGCGGGCGTATACTGTGAAAGGCTAGGCCTTGAATTAACCTACAAGGAGGATAGCAACTGTAGTGTTTTTCAATCTGAAATCTTCGCGATTTGGAAGGTAGCGGAATTGATAAAAAGTCTGGATGCAGAGGTCGTTGAACCGGTGACTATCTTCGTGGACAGCCAAGCGGCTCTTAAAGCCATCAAATCTTGTTATATCAAATCTGAGGCCGTCCTCAAGTGTAGAACAACTTTGGAAGAACTTACTTACAGTTATCGGATGTGTTAGTTACCTGGACACTGTGACATCTTGGGTAATGAAAGAGCAGACGAACTAGCTAGACGAGGATTCAATCCACAGTTCTAGCAATTGATGACTCATTAATCTTTACTGGGACTTTGAGGCGTTCTTCGACGAAAGAGCCTATGAACTTTGGCACAACGAACCTAGGTGCAACGTGTCAAGATCCATTTGGCCGACTATGTCTACCAAAAGAACGCACTCACTGTTGAACCTGAGCAAAGCTGAAATAAGAGTAATGACAGGAATCATTACTGGTCAATGCAATATCAGAGCCTTTACTAGTAAATGGGATCTTGATGCAATTGATTTGTAGACTCTGCGTTGAAGAGGAGGAGACGAAGACAATTGAGCATCTTCTGTGTCACTGTCTAGCCCTGGCTTACAGGCGGTACAGACTAGTGGGTGCTCATTTTCCACCGAGTCTTAGCTTCTTCTCAACAACTGAACCTGCTCTAATCTACAGCATAATTAGTAACGTAAAGTGGTTGGGAAAGTGCAACCTTTACACGTAATATAACTTCTGTCTGATCTCTATAGTCATCGACATTATTCCAAACTTACCTTATATATTTTTGTAAGCTCCACTTCTCTCTTTATTTCCCCTATAGATGTCTCCTTATCTCTTTTCTTCTCGTGTATGATCACAACGGACCTGACGGTCTCAGAGTGCTGCAGCCACATAAGTGACTGTACATCCCCAAACCTAACCTATAGGGATATGGCCTCCACTGTTGCGCTGGCACTCTTTCTCCACCATAAGTTAGACATTCGGGACCTCTACTTTGGAGGCTATGTCATAGTGATTTGATGCTAAATTTGGCGATGACATTGATGTTTATATTTTGTAGGAAGATTTGCCATCCAAGCCTAATAGTACATTTACATTGTACCAGATTTTTATAACACAGTGGGTATAAATTTTCAATTCCTTTGTATACATGTCAAAAAATGTCAATTTAAATAAATGTCAATTCATTAAAAAGTTCTAATGTAAATGCCGTTTAAGAATAAATTACATAATTAAAATACTAAATATTGGGTGTACTGTTATATGGGTGCTATATAATGGACACATATAGTCTGTTCCAGTACATTTTTAATAGTAAAGCTAGTAAAAAGGAAACATCTAAAAATCGCTCTCAGAGTACAAAATAATTTGAAAAGTTCGGGAACGAAAATCTAGCAAATATGCCAAATTTAGATGGCAATACTTCAAAATCAACATAACAGCCAATCAGAAGTAGGCATTCCTGTTTACCATTTTTACTCGGCCAAATTTCTCGAGTAAAAAGTTTTCAAAGATAAAGCCATTTTGTTTTGTGCTCTCTTAAATTCGATTCAATGTTTTACCAGTTTTGTGGGTTCAGGAACGGTTTACGAGTAAAAAGTTGTAAACCTTGCAAAATTAGTAGATTCTTTTAGGTTCTGGAACTATAATGATGTTATTTTTTATAGGAAGATTTTTCACCCACCGGGAAGTCAAAATATCAAATGATAGGCATTTCCGTTGAAAATGTTTTGTAAAACCTCATAATGTCGATTTTAGGAGTTATACCAAAACGTGGACCGAATCATTCATTGGAACACAGCAAATGAACTGGAAAAGAAACTAGACGAACGAGACTAAAAAAGCAACAACTGGAGCAAAAGAGAACTGAATAAACGATTAAACCGGACCTTGTACAGACCGTTCCTTTTGTGGAAAATTTCCGTTACTCGATGCAAAATATTATTCTGATCAACAATATACAATTTATTGCTGCTATTGGAATGTGTTAATAAGGTGGGGTTATGACAATATTTCGAAATATATGAAAAATCTCATTTAAAAATATATAAAAAAATTATTTCAAATTTGTTAAATTGTTGTGGTCCTGATTATAATAAAACAATCCTTTTGAAGTTCATGCAGAAGTCACACAAACAAAATCTACCTTCAAATAAAAATTTAACGATTTAACGAACTTTGACAAGCCAAGGGCAACATAACATCAAAATTATTATTTTATATAAGAATTAATATATTATATTAAAATAAAGTTATTTTTATTTTTTAATCGTTGTGATTCTGATTACAATAAACAATTTTTTCGAAGTCCAACGGAACAAAAATTTACTGATTTTTAGAGTTCAATTTCATTGAAATCGGAATTTCGATCTCTATAGGCCACCTAACCTAAAAATAAATTTTAAGTTATAATGTATAAAAATTAAAATAATTATTTCAAATTGTTAAATAGGTGTGGTCCTGATTATAATAATACAATCCATGCTGAAGCCACGTAACAAAATCCACCTTCAAATAAAAATTTACCGAACTCAAATTTGGAAAGCCAAGGACAACATAACCTCAAATTTAATAGTAAGTATTACAAATACTAATATTTAAATACATGTGTTGTTATTTTTTATCGTTGTGATTCTGCACAAAAAAATCGAAGTACAAAAAATACTTCTGGAAATAGGAACCTCGACCTCTTGAAAATACAATTAATTTGAGATGAACCAAATACCACATAATCTAAAAATAAATGTTAGGTTATAAAGTATAAAAAATAGTAAAAATTAAAATAATTATTTCAAATTTTAACGGATTTTTTCAGTTCAAATTTTTGGCTACCATTCGAAAACAAAACCCAGAGTTGCATATTTCCTACTTTGTTTACGAACAAAATGTTTATATGAAACACCCAATTATTTATAGGTTATTTTAATGAATTAAAAATAATTTATTATATTATATATATTTCAATTATAAAATAATCCCAAAAAATTATCAAATACTTTATTTCAAAATTAAAAAACACATTTTTATTCCCCCCATTCAACAAAAAAACATGCTTCTAAGTTGAGAAGCAGAGAACCAAAAACACACACTCAGCGTGCAAGAGAGAGAGAGAGTGTCACGTTATTATTGTTGTTAACATGCGGTTGTCATTTCATGTGCCCCGCCGCTCTTCATGCCTTACCCCTCCACTGAGCTTGTCGAAATGTCATCGCTCTTTT